TTTATTCAATGTGTAGTGTTCGCGTAAATTTAAGAAATCATTATATTAATTTTATTGCAAAAAAATTGCGTTTAATTTAATTTGTAGTGATAAAATAATAAGTTCTTAGACAAACACATCCTATAAGACACCGTACATGAAATGTACTTCAGATAAGAATACGATAACATAAAAATAAAAGTTTTCATCTAAAGAAGCGAGAAAATAAAGTTGAATAATATTTGAGATTCTCGTTTTATTCGACTACAGACCCTTTGTGAATGGAGAGAAAGATTTGCTGAGATAGTCCTATCAAACATTTATAGAGTTCCCATAAAGGGACAAGATTTTTGAGCAGTTGCTAAGGAGGATTCCTTATGGCGAAATGAATTTGGAAGCACAAATTTTATTATTGTACTCAAAGACATTTTAGTACTAAAATGTATATTTGAAAATCATGGTATTATTAATTATTATATTTTTAAACAAGTAATATCGAAAGTTAATGACTAAACTCCTTACATCATTCCTTTTGGTAAAAAAACCTTATTAATATAAAAAGTAAAGTATGAATTTATGATTACGTTAAACATGGACTGGTAAAGTAAAAACCTGAGAGAATTGGTACATTGGAATGCATTTTGAAGACGACGAGGTATTTACGATTGTTATCATTAGTTGCCCCTATAAAATTTTCGGAAAAAATAATGTCTTTGATGGATAGTAACGTGGTATGATCTTTTGTATCGTGGGGGTTTAGATAGATAAATTTTACAAGTAAACACATTCAGATACAAAACAATTATTTGTATATAGGCTATACGGATACTTGATCCGTGCTGAATTTGAACCCACAGCCTTTAGCGGTGTAACTCATTGATTTGGATTGGTGACCATAGATTTTACAAGATAGTAGTATTAATGGGTTGGTCCGTACAGGATAGGACCACGCATTCACAGAATACTACCGTAAAATAGCAGCTTAATGCTGCTGTGTTTCGTATGGTGAGTGTAGAGAACCGGAGACCCTTTTTATTCTATTCGAGGCTTTCCATCTTAGTCCTCAGGGGTGACAAAGCATCTGAATTTTGATTTTTAATCGAGAGTAAATGTAGATGTCTATGGCCTACACCATCCACTTACCATCAGGTGGACTGTGTGCTCTTTTGTCACCCTAATTCTATAAAAAAAAACATAAAGCGGTCAGACGGTACCATTTCTTTTATTAGATAAGTATAAAAGAAAATTATAATATACAAATAATAATATATAATAATACATAACATATATTATATGTTTATAGAAGCTATCAGCATTTTAAGCTTATATCCTGATAGGCTCGTATGCAGTGTCCATGACACAGGGACAATTATAAAGCTATTGGATATTTCTATTAAAATATTTTACGGTTATTTTTGGTTTTTACTACAGTGGTTTGGCTTCTCGTAATTGATTAAAGAAGTGAGGAGTAAGTATGAAGTTGTGCGTACAATAGATAGACGTGTCGTATTATCGTCAATGGTCTTTCCTAGAGTAGTGTTGTTGGGAGTAGTGGTGCTGGGATTAGAGGTGACGGGATTAGTGCACGCAATTGAGGGAGGGGGAGAGGTGCTCTTCAAACTAGGTAAAACACATCATTCTATTTTTCAAGTTGCAAAGTAACTATTAATATCTTTATTATTATTGTTATTGTAAGTGAAATAATTTCATTCCTCAAATTTCGTAAGAATACAGCGCTGGACTGATGCTTTCCCATTGTGTGAAACACAGATTGGTTGTCGTATTAATTACACGTCCTTTTTAACAGATTGTTCTTTGGGGCTATTGTCCGTCTTTGATCTGAGTATTTAACATCGGACAAATATCATCCAGCAGTTTCCATAACACAGGATGAAAGGAAGTAAACCGATCGAGTCTCTTAAGTTGTTTGGAGACGCCGCTAAAGTGTTCTACATGAATGATTAAAAAGTATACATGCGTATGTACATTACGTAATATGTATGTATATCCTACTGTTGGACACAGGCCTCTTCTCATTTTGAGAGGATCTTTAACTTTATGCAAACAGAGTTCAATAACGCAGGCACAAATCAAATTATTGTTTGATTATGAATGTGCTTGGCAGTGAAGAAAAATATTGTAAGTAAAACTTGTCTCTGTATTATAAAAAAATAGCGACAGTAAACTCCATCAAATATTTGTGTTTATGTTAATTCTTTATACAAATAAAAAATACGGCATTGCAGCTATATGAGATACAACGATAATAAATTCTTTGTCTATCAGGTGCATTGAATTAAAAACATCCAAACAGACGAACTTTCACACTTATAACAATAGAAGGAAAAGTATAACTAATAATTAAATAATAAAATGCATTCTTAATTTATTAATTCTTTATAATAAAAATAAGTACAGTTTTCATACAATGTGGTGCGAAGACCGCTTCATAACGACGAGCACCTGCCGCATTATCATAAAAAGGGGAAAGTCACAGCAGAACTCAAGCTTTTGGTCGGTTTGTAGTTTATCCTTAATTGCTATAATTGTAAGGATATGTATTTTCGACATGTCTGTATCTAAATTAAAAATTCAAAAACATAAAATAAAAAAAAATAGCCTTTTAACATCCCACGGCTGGACATTAGCCTCCTGTTATTTCTGAGAAGATCGTTGAGAAACTAGTTCGTTGTGCTACCCCAGTGTGTGCTGGCGTACTTCACGTGCCCTCGAAATATTTTACATGTAGATTTCATCACGTTATTTTCTTGAAGATTCCTTCACGTGTTAAATAAGCACTGAATAAGCCGGGTAGCTTGCGTACGTTTAGAGTACGTACGTAGTGCTTAGGCTCTAAGCTGCCATGACTTTCAGCTCAAACATAAAAAAGTTGAAGTTAATTAAAGTAATTAATACGAGTATGAAGAATGAGTATTGTAATTGTCCACTAGTCTTTGCCGATACATTCTAAAGAAGTGATAAGAGAATGTAGTAAAAAGAAATTATGGGGAAAAACCCAGATAGTTACGTGGGAGTCGATAAAGGTAATTATGCGAAAAAGCAAAATAGCCTTTTATATATGAAGTTACCATATTGCATATCATTATCATAATTATCATCATCATCATTATCATCACCATTAAAACTATGAGTAGTCTAGACAATGCACAAGACTCTTAAACTGGGGACTACTTATAAAGACAAGAGTCCTTCGGATAACTTTGTTCAGAGAACCGCGACGTTACGTGTATGTAGATAGAATTCGTAAATATAATTAATAAAGTAATCGAAATAATAATAATCGGGGCAGAGTATAGCGTAGTCCTATTATTTCCAACTTCGATATAATTTTTTTCTTTAAAAGTAGATATCGATGAAACCTTGCACAGATTATTTTTTAACATATAAATGCAACTCACACTTCTAAACTATTTGTAAAATTTGTATATTAAAGTGCAATATATCAAAATAAGTCGCTGCTGCAAACAACAAAACTTTCAGTTTATACTTCCCACTTCAGTCAGTCACAGGATTTGTCTCATTTTGTAACAGGGTTTTAGGGCAAGTAGGTGTCTGCCGCTCTGCTCCAATAAGTGTTTGCGGACTTAGTATGCAAATTAGATAGAATAAAAATAGAATTTTTGTCCTGTTTTATTTGGATGTTGTTCAACACTTAATCAGCACTTAAAAGCAGCCTCTGACCTACTACGGTTATATAAAAGTAAAAAAAAACTAAAGTTACAGCCTACATACGTCCTATATACCTCCCCTCATTTCTGAGAGGGTTTTAGGGCAAGGAAGTGTCAGCCGCGCTGCCCCAATGCGTGTTGGCGAACTTCACACGTTTTCGAAATATTTTTTTCCTTATTCCTCAGCTATGAAGTTTTCCTCACGATGTTTACCTTCACTGCTGAGCATATGGTAAATCAGCACTTAAAATTGCAATTAACAATTTCATTAGTGCCGGCGGAGATCGAACCCGGGTACTCGCGTTCTGTTATATTTTGCGATCGTTAACCATCTGAGCTACCACGGCTCCTACGGCCGGCTACGGCTATATATTATTATAAATATTGTCGTTGTTTAAGGAAAACTCAGGCGTTGTATGACGTACGATATTATAATTATATATCTTAGTAAGCGAGGAGGAAATAAAATAATATTGTTTTAATAAAATATAAAATAAGGCAATACCTAGTTGTAGGTAAAATAAACAGTACGTCACGATGACTGTCAAAAAAGGGGCGAAAATTTTTCTTGAAATAGCTGTTCTAGTAATAATATGATACTAATAATAAATAAAAGGAAAAAGGTATTTATCAGTAACCGATACATATAAAAACTATGATAACATTATATAAACTTTATTTCATCAGTGCATTTAACGATATTAAGGTGTTTAAATTATGGTTATTTTTTAAGTATAATCAAATTTCACTAAATAATTAGTTTATTAATAGAAAATACTCGACGTAATTTTTTATTAATTACCATATTATTTAGTTACTATGTAGGTCAATAAACTCATAGTCTTTATTTATTTGAAACGCAGACATAGTGAGGAGTGCTGATTTTTTGAATTGGGAATATAATTAATTGCTACTATTGGTGTCTGCGATTTGATTCATGTGAAATTTAAAAAAGTTAAAAATAGTTAATGTACAAAACTAAGATGCAAGTTACCTCCACACTGAAAGTCATCATTACCGTTTCAGCTGTGAAAAGGTACCTATCTAACTTACAGACTTCGCATTCATGTTATTATTAAAAGCATATTAGCGCTCACAAGGCATCTTCTTAAACGCAACTGTAGTTCCTTAACTTGGAGTTGACAGCAGGCATCCATGTTGCATCTCGTTTTCGATCATTATAAATAGTCATCTTCTAATACTTTCTAAGCGAACTAGGCACTTTTAAATATTCTGTGAAACTATATAATAGTTGCTTGTTTCATTCTTATGTATAATATATATTATTAATAAAGTTACTGTTAAATGCAAATGCCATGTGAATGATCTTCATTATCGACACAGTTCCGTGTCATTTTCAGGTATGGTGCATAAAGCGTCTGGTGTGGCTAGAAAAAGTTTTCCTGACGCACATGCGCAAAGTTGATATACTTTGTTAGCTCTGTTATATTTTTGAGGTTTGATCGTTCTATTGGCTATCTTCAAGTTGTCGATTACTATATTCGGAGCATCGATTTTGATCTGAAAAGAAGGATAATACTAAGATTTTGTTTCTAAGTTGATTGATTGAACCAAATGTTAATGAACCTCAATAAAGTTTGAAATTTAATGAATTTGTAATAATGATTTTAGTAGGTATAAGTAAACTGTGATTAAAAGAAATAATTTAAATTTTGAAATGGTTTTCAGCTATGCGCTATAGCGCTTGGATTGTTTTTTTTTGTTGGGCGTTCAACTTTAGTGTGTATTGAGCAATTTCTTACCGGCTCGTTATATTATATTACAATATGCATTACGCAAAAGTGCATGTGTTGCTCTTCATACGAATAAATTGTTGTGTGAATACAATATTATTTTATTTAATTAAAAATGGGCTCACTCTCAAGAGTGTAGGTCAACCTACATCTGGCCTGAAAGCAATGATGAGGTTTACGATGGAGTGAGTTTGCCCAGGATAAGTTAACATGCATCTTGAAGAAGTTCAGGTAATAGGCACACCGAAAAACCGACGCCGACAGGGCATTCCAATTCTTGGCTGTGCGTATTATAAAACGTGATGTATAGCGCTTAGTGCGAATATCCCGAATATCAACAAAGTATAGATGGGTAACCTGCAGTACGTATGATACTCCGATAAGCGAATGGAGATGGCAGCATGAGCATATGAAGCTCTTAAGCACACTCTCCGAAGTACAATCCGTAGAAGATCGATAAACAAGCAACTAGCGGCGGTAAGCTATGTTGTGAAGCAGCTTTTTTCGCCGATAAGTCAGTAGTTTCCACCAGCTTTTTGTCCCCAATAAGCCTCTTGGCGCTGCGTTCCACTGAGCCGAGTGCGGCAAGTTGATATTTTGTTGAGCCATTCCAAAGATGGCTACAATACTCCTTGCATGTTTGAACTTGAGCTTTGTATAAAGTTTGAAGCTGTCCAGGTGTGAAGGATCGCTTCATATTGTTAAGAATAGCCAGTTTCTTGGCCGCAGTATGTGCTTTCGACCCAAAGTTGAGGTTAGCACTCAACTGTATGCTGAGAAGCTCAAGATGATAAGTAATATCTATGATTAGATGTACCTCCGAAAGTAGGCTTTAGATCAAACGGATGGAAACGGACTGTTTTGCGGCGAACAGACATGACCAAGTTTTGGCAGCGTTGAAAGTGACCAGATCAAAGTCACCCCATTTAGAGACCAAACAGAAGGTCGCATTTATCCGCTCCACCATGGTTTCTAAATGAACGTATTACTACCCCACCGTCTTTTGCACTGGAAATGAATCTCTCTGTGACTGTGCTGTCATCTGCATACCTAAAAATACCTGGTGGAAGTAGGTCATTGACATGCAGCAGGAAAAGAGTCGCAGAGAGGACACACCCTCTTAGGAACTCCGCCATTAATATGCATTAAGTCAGAAAAGCAGCGATCTATGACTAACCTCATCGATCGTTCACCTAGAAAGTCAGATATCCAGTTGCGAAATTCGGCGGGGATGCCGTAGGCAGGAAGCTTACATAGCAGAATTGTGTGCCAAACTCTGTCAAAAGATTTCGAGATATCAAGTGAAACTGCTAGAGCTTCACCGTTTTTCTCGATCGACTAACTGCAAAAGTGTTTGACCGTATTGGTGATCATTGGTGATCACTGAGAAGTTCTTTTTTTCAAGGTATGTCAGTAGCTTTCTGTTCAGTACCCTTTCCAAGACGTTACAGAGTATGGAGGTGATGGCGATTGGTCGATAATTACAGTGATCGGCACGACCATCCTTCTACGGTACTGGTTGCACATTACCTACTATTGCTAGGATTTGGGCACTGTTAGAGTGAGATGAGACTGATCGAGTGAGGTGAGAGGTGGTACAGTCGCATCAGAACAGGTAACAACTCAGGCGCACAGTGCTTAAGTACCCTTGCCATCAGGTCCATTGGCTTTGTTCAGATTTTGGTTTTGCAAAGTTCTACGTACTTCTTTCATATAGATAGTGACCTTCGGCATCGAAAAATAACAGTGAGGTGGGTTGGCAGTTATGGCCAGCATCTAGACGAGAATTGTTCGCAAACAGAGATGCAAATAAATTTGGTAGAAAGCAAATCGTGTCCTGCGGAAAACTCGCTTGCAGGATTTGACAGCAGAATTTAAAGCTCTCTTCTTTGAACGAAGTCTTCGAGCTCTAGCTTTGGGATCGCGAGCACACTCTGCATTATAATAGGGCCGAGACTTGTGATAGAGAGAGATATCGGAGAACGGAATAGAATATTCCAATCCCTGCCTGTCCATAACCGCAATGACAGAGCAGGAGGTTTCATTCAAAGAAATCCGCTCTTGCCGCCACGGATATGTTGTAAAGAAGTGCAGCATCTCAACCCAGTCTGCTGACTCATATCTCCTTACTCGCTTCTTGCCCACTGCAACTGAAATTAGTGAAGGGAAAATTTTCACGGTACTATAGAGGTTTTTAGATTAAATTTATCCTCAGAAGCGTGCCTCTACTAAAGAAGTTATTTTTTTCCAATACGATCTTAATTTCATCCATTTTCGAGAAATTAAAAGCGTGGCCGCTCATGGGCGGCCTCTCGTGAAAAACTATATATGTAACGACATCGGTCGATCGTGATTGGACCGAAAATTTGTGTCTTCTCACAGGTTTTAAAATCTAGAGGAGTGGCTTTATTCAACAATGTTGTATAAACGTAGTGACAAAATCATTAATGATGTAATGTTGACGAAATTTTTTTATTGTCGTGTACATAATCATCCTGAATATTTACTCCATTTTAAGTTAAATGCGTTCCATATTGAAAAGTTTTAATCTTATAGCTTTTAGAACCATAGATAATTTAAGATTTGAAATCGTGAATTATTTGATATACTTACAGCTCCTACTATAGAATCTAGATGAATATTACTGTGTGCCGTGATTTCAATGCCACCAGCTCTACTCTCGAGGTAAATGGATTGTGGCGCTCTTAAATCTAGTCGTCTAGTCAGAGATTCCAATCTGTAAGTATTTTATTTTCTTTAAATTCAAATTCATGCATTTTATCCAAATATATACATTCACAGATGATGCATGAAACTTTGATGGCCGAAAGGTTGTTGAATAAGTTGTAAAGAACATATAATTATTTATTTTATTTCAATTCATTTTATAGTATGACAAATAAAATTTAGTATAAGCTCGTGGATGTTAATTTTTCAACTGTCGCACAAAATAATATGCATTTTGTATAAGAGGAGAGGGTTATTAGAAGCATGTATTGATACAAACTGAGATGTTTGTATATTAATGAAGTGGCAAATCATTTGAGTCACTCCTCTCCTCCTATTTAAGACATATGGAACTGGCTATTTATCTCTATTGCTAATCTAATGTACAGGTGTACAGATATATAAGTCTATTTATATATTATACATATATACAGACATATATATCAGACAATAGATACAGATTTTGTTTTTCCTCTTAAAGCCAATTGCTAGACATGATCCTCGAAAGTAATAGGAAATATTTGCTTTAATCGACGCGTTTGGCAGGCAGATCAGCGTTGATTGTATTTACTAAACGGCTCGTATTTTGGAATTTGACCTTTGACTTTTACGCTGCTATATAATTTGGCGTAAATGAAATGCTTATACCGCTATTTATCGGAAGCCATAAGATCTTTTTGGAATTTTTCATATTCGTCTCTTACAAAACCCAAAGGGCGAAATTGGTCGATGAATTCTCTAACGCCCCCATCAGATAAGAAGGCTCAGGATAGTGTTTTGAGCTATTTCTTAGGGAGCTTTATGCTTAGAATTGAACTTGTTAAGAACTATAATGATAATAATGCTTAAAATACCACGACAACAAAATCTGTAACATTTCGCAGTGTTGTTAAGCTTTTTGTTACTTATTTTGTAACTTTTATGGGCTTTTTATTACCCTAATAATGAATAAATATAAGTTATCTCTTTGTTTCATACAAAATATCGTTGAAACCAACAGTTCAAATAGTTAAAAGACACATTTGTAGTGTAATTTACTGCATAAGTTTTATTTTATATTTCAGATGAACTTACTGCAATTTAGAGCTTGGCGGTGCTCGAATAAGCGGTGCTTGAATTGCACTATTCACAGTGAGTCCGCCTTCACCGTCTACGGCAAATGCGTCAGCAAATACACGTACTTCTTCACGTGACGCGTGGAAAACATTTGCACCTTTAGCGTCATGTACTTCAAACTTTTTTCCACTGTATTCAATATTGTTCCTTTCTGTGAAACAAGTAAAGAAGTTTTGCACGATTTGTAATTGGAAGTTCACTTTCTATATTGTATATATACAATTTTAAATACCTAAATTTTATGATCCAAATTAATTTCAACATTTATATTATAATAATTACAGGGCTAATTCTAGACTGCAAACCTGAACGCATTATGTATATGATCGAAAAAATAATCACTTATCTCATTACATATTTGAACAGTTATCCATGCCGCTTTTTGCCAAAAAGACATTTTCTGCTTTATTTCGTTATTTTCGATCAGAAAAAGAATAAATCAAAATGCTTTAAGTATTGACGTCAACACAAAATAATTCAAATTTACGAAGTAATGCATTATAATTTTAAATATAACATAATATTATATTTAAAAAATCAATTTCAAATCAAGTCAAATCCTAAAGTACATAATGTTTTAAAACTATAACCTTTGGCGTGATTTAGATGACGAATTCGCGATAAAATGCGATCGTCGTAATAACGAATGATATGAGGAAAAATATTTTTAAGGTAAAAAATAACTAAATAAATTCAAATATTTTAAACAAAATGGCTTTGTAAATAAGAATTTGATATCATAAGTATTACTTTCAAACATTTTACTAACTTATAAACATTTTCGCAATTTCCCCGTGATTTGGCTCTGAGACAAGAACGGTGAAATTGCGGAATGAGTGTAGAGTGATGGGTTGAGCGATCTGTGATGTTATTGTGGAGGCCACCAAGTTGTCTAAGATCCAAGCTTGTCCCTCAAGCTGAATTCCATCCTTTATTATTTTTATAGGACCGATACCTTTCTGAAACAAAATTACGTAAGTTTTTCAAATACCCTTTTAAAAAAAATATCTAACCAAAAATGAAAGTTAGTGAAGTGAAATCTTACCATACTTAAACGTAGTGCACTAACTATCCACAGTGTTAAGGCTATATTCAAAAAAATGAGAATCATCAAGAAAAGTAAAATTCCGTATAGCGTTGACCTTTTCCAGCCCTTAGAAATTATTTCAGGTAGACATTTAGATTTAGTTTGACCGTTCGATGCGACAGAAACAGGAGGAGGATCTCCAGTTGGAGTGAAACCCCAGCCATGAATAGCGCCTGAACTTTCCTCCGCTTCCTCTCTGCTCATTGCGTGCAACTGTCGTCTTATCAAGAAGATCGTCGAATTACTCTATGATCCTGTAACAAAGAAGATGATTACTATTATATAACAAAGAAGCGACGCGACGCGGCACGTAATTTTTAAGATAGTGATACAAAATATAACTTTATTTACTACACCAAAAGATACAATTTTTTTTTTTGGGATAATTCAAAAATGCCCCGGGGCGTCGCGCTGCGTCTCTAGGTGCCCTGCGGCGTATTGCGAATTTGCGACACATCACGACGCAGCGTTTCGTCAGTAGAAGCGACGTGCTAGAGTGGTGCGCTGCCAGCGGCTTCAATATGCACCTCGCAACGTCGCGATGCGTCTCGCGGTCGCGCGCTGCGCGGTGCGAAACCGCTGGGCTCTTCAAGCATCGTCGCGTCGAGTCGCGTCTTGGTGTGAACTGACCCTTACATCTAATATCAATCAGAATCAGAATCAGAAATATTTATTGACCATAATATAACAATCGTTACAGGCAAGTCATTGGTTACAAAAGTTTTTATAAATTTATAAGATTAAATTATATTATTGTATCTTAATTTAGTTATATTGATGCTTTACGTCATAGAATTAGGTAATTTATTTTGTTTGTACGTTACACAAGAATGATGATTCCATGAGTTGCATTAACATGTATTCGCTTAATTTGTAAAATGGGTTGTTCTCAAAAAAATAATTAAGTTTCCTTTTAAATTTGCTATAGTGTAGGCTGGTTAAACTATTTGGTAATTTGTTATACATCGTACAATTACAGATTAATGGAGTATTAGTGTAAGTCAAGCTACTAATGGATGAATATTAATTTAAAAAGTAATATGCTACAATATTCAAATCAAAGACATTTATATGTATACAAAAAACATTTAGATACCTATTTAGATTTTTAAAGTAACATTTCAGTTACCATCTGATGATAAATAGCTAATGTAGCTACCAAATTTATCTGTATCTGTGAGAAACTTTAATGAATGATGGCATACCACACCAATCGTAATTATATTAGGTTTTCTTTACCTTCAAAGCAAAATAACGATGGGCGCACTGTCTTAGCTTTAAACTAGGCTAGGATGATTTACTAAATCCGAGGGTTAAGCAGAATAGGGTCTAACCACGAAGAACTTAGACGGTTGTTATATTTATTACAGTTTATTATTCATATCTTGAAATTTGTGTGGGTAAGTATAGTAAGTCAATTGTAACAAAGATCAAACTTGAAATCCGAAACATAATAGGTCACTTCTTTTTTTATAGAGCAAAGGTGACAAACGAGCACACAGTCCACCTGATAAGGTAAGTGGATGCTGTGGCCCATATACATCCACATTCATCTTCAAATAATAATCAAAATGCAAATGCGTTTTCTTTCACCCCTGAGGACTAAGATGGAATGCCTCGATTCCAGTAAAAAGGGTATCCGGTTCTCTACACTCACCATACGAAACACAGCAGCATTACGCTGCTATTTTACGCTGGTATTCTGTGAGAGCGTGGTCCTGCCCCGGTCGAGCGGACCCATTCGTGTTAGAACTATAATATAGCTGCACCGTGGCTCAATCACGTAAAAATTGACGAACGATGTATGTTAATATTTTTTTTTACAGTATTGTCCCTTCCTGAATAAGAAGACTTCGTTTTTACTCTACAATGACTATCCTTAAGGCTAACATGATCATTTTTCTTTAAGAAGCAATATTGTTTTTATTTGTAAATATTCAGAGTGCGACCAATAACCTATTTTATTTAAAATCGCGTTAAACCTTAGAATAATTACATACATATATAATAATCTTTGCCATTTTCATATAACTCAGAGAAATTGTCAAATTTATGTCTCTATGGTTACATTAGTTAGCATAAGTATATATTATTATCTATGGTAAGAACCGTCTGCTGACTGAAACAACAAATTAAATGTGCTTTATTGCACTTTATTTTTAACTGTAACTCGTTTGTTATTGTTCTACATTTTATGGACATTTTTAATTAAATTATTAAATTTACATATAAATGAGTTTTCGTGAATTTGAAAACTCCTTTCTACGGTTTGAATCAATAATCAAACCACCAATATCTAAGTCGGTCGCGATATTTATTTCTGATAAATTTATAGATTTACTAGTAGAATATGTTTTACATTATTTTAATTATTTTAACTGCTTTTTATAAGTTTATTTTTTATATTTTAAATTCAGATTAAAATTTGTTTAAAAAATTAATTACGTTCCTAAAATTTTAGGACTTTGTAATTTTTTAAAGTTTTTGAATATGACATATTTTTTATAATATAGTAATAGTTTTACGCTTTTAAATTAGGAATAATGTTTTTCTTAGTCCTTAGAATTAAAATAAAAAACACAGAAGCTAAGAACGGATTGTCATACTTAAAATAATCCTATTAAATATTAGATTAACCTGAAAATCATTTGATTTTGAACGTTTTAGACATGACTAAAAGGTACAATATATCTCTACGTCACAGGTCTTTTGTCCTCTAAGCTCTTTACGCTGATACAATAGGCACTAAAGTTGAATAAAGTATTTTTTAAATATCTTTTAGAGCTTGTTTTTTTTATAAAGAATTTAACAATGCCTAGTATTGTTTTTAAATAAAACCGTTTTAAAATTTTCAAGTATGTGTTTAAATAACTGAATGTACTTTAATTGTTAATATAATCAATGTTAACAACTATCTATAAAAGAAATGTTTTTTGCCTTCCTAAAATCACACTTGATATTTTGGATTATTATAGATTGCATTGACTCCACTGACGTGTAATTTTCATTTAATCTATAGGCGTTTGAAATTTAGATATAGGTACTGTTAAGTTTTTTTTTTCTAAAGGAAAACATCAACATATAAAACAATAACGTATTGTCAAATAAAGTCAAATCTTTTAAATACATGAGATAATGGTATCTTACGAATAATAATTAACAACATACATACTTACTAAAATGTAAAATAAATTTTCATATGTGTATAAGTTAAAGTAGTAAATATTTCAAAAAAAAACACTAATAACTTTATATAAACGTAACTATTACAAAAATACGACTAATAATCGAATAAACTTATTCCAGTTCGGCATATTTAAGATATCATTTCTTTTTTATAGGCTTTGTTCCACGATGCAGGCGGCTGCACCGGGCGAATTCTGAGCCTGAGACTAGATAAATTCATAGATGCTAGAAGAAACACTCGAAATATCTGGCGTGAAGCGAAGCAAGGCAGACGTGCTACAGAATATAATATCAGGCAGTGGAGTGCCCGCGAGACTCCCGTGCCCTCATGCCGCGCCGCGTCGCCTCAGCCGGCTCTCGTAATAAACGATATAGTGCGAAAATAGAACCCAAACGGCTATCGATGCGCTTTCCACGTAAATAAAATACCGACGCGACGCTCCCGCCATTCCTGTCTCTCGATGTGAACGATTTTGTTATATGGAAGATGAAGATATCGATTCCAGTGTTCAAAAATAAACATTTGAATCCGTTTAAGTCACTTGTTTCATTCACAAAACTTAATCCAACGGTATTATATTTATTACAGTTATAGACATGAAGAAAAGTAATGATAGAATAAAGAAAAAGAAATACGTGTTACTAACTTATGTATATCCTTTATTTCTGTTCCGAAATAGTCACGAAGCACTAATCCAGTATAAACAGAAAATTAAATTTTATTTTGTGCAGTCACTACCGACACAGGTTTTGAAACGTTTTAAACACAGCCATCGTAAGACCTCTTGGCTCGAACGTTGCAACAACACTGGCAGCAGCGTGCGCGAGAGACGCCAATGCCGATTTCATCTTGTTTTGAAGTGCTGCATTTTTAAACAGGCGCCTGTCTCATGCGGGACATAACTTGGATAAGCTCTGGGTACATCTGTGCTCTATTTATTATGAATTCCAGTTAACGTTATTATTAACTGACGGCTTCGCGTAAAGTTGTTAATAATTGATCTAGTCGCGTCCGTGTCAACACATGTAGCGTGGACAGCGTTGAATAGACCCTTACGTTTTTGTCCATTTAGTGACTTATGTCTTTTTAGGTTCAGCTGTATTATTATTGTAGCAGAGTTGGCTCAACCGGGGAAGGATAACGCTGTCACAGTATACTAGCGTAAAATAACAGACTAATATTGCACGGGTATACTGAGCGTAAAAAACAGCTTTTGCTGCTAGACACGAGGAATACCATCTTAGTTCTTGGAGAAAATCATCTGCATTTGAATTCTTCATTGAAGATGTAGATGTTTATGAGCTATATATATATATATATATATATATATATATATATATATATATATTCCTGTAGCTCATAAACGTCTACATTTACCTACAATACTTTGATACTACCTAGATATACAGGAGTACCTGTTCACTCTTACCATCAGGTGGACTGTGTGCTCGTTTGTCATCTTTATTTTATTTAAAAAAATAATACAATATTTTTATTATAGTCCAGTTAACAAAATGTAAATAAAATCACCTCTTCTTTTAAGCAACATCAGTAAAAGTATTAAGTACAAAATTATTAAAGAAAATATTGTTTACTGGCTTTTCCTGCGGCTTCACTCGCATGTTGATTTGGCTTTCATCAATAGTATCATATGTTGTTTACACACATGTAAACATACATTGTCAACACACATACATGTTTACATTAAAATCAATAGCGTTCCGTACAAAAATTTGCAAAACAGAACACTTTGGGTTTACTTCCTTGTCTGTCTGTCCATCGGACTCTTGCAAAGAAGCGCACTGAACTAATATTTGGTACAGTTACAAGTGATAACTACTTGATATTTAGATTATTTTTAGGCAAAGAAATGGAAAGCAAAAAGGATATTTGTGTGGAACGATAAAAAAGATCTTTGAAGTACTATTTCAAATATATATTTAAAACATTTTAATCAGTTTTATTTGATTTTTTTAAATAATATTTAAAAACTTCTACAGCGTATCTGCAATATATG